AATGTCTACAAGCAAATCAAACTAAATTTTTATGAGCGTTTGAAGATCATAATTTTACAATATTGGATATTCACTCGATTTCTCATGTATACATATAGCGATTTCCTTATTTTGTTGTAATTCAAAAACGAACAACTGTACATGAAAATTTCACTGAATGTTTAAATTAGCATTTTCTATACACCATAAAATTTTGAAAATATTTTGACTCTTGTTGAGCTGTTTACGGACATTTTCAGTTTTCAATTTTTTTAGTTTTTTTTTTCTATCAATATCAATTAAGTTTTATCTGTTGGGCCAAAAACTGTAAAAATTTAATACCAGGCTCCTGATATATTGTTACAATATCAGTTCAAAAACATTGAAAATACTTAAGCACAATTTTTTTATAAGCATTTGAAGTTCGAATTTTTACAAAATGTATTACATTTAAAATGTAATAATTATTTTGTAGTTAAAAACTGATAAAATGTTCAATTTTTATATCTAAGATTAAAAATTTAAAACAAGGGTCCAATAGGTAAATAGGTAAATATATAAATTACTTTATTCACAATAATACCATTAAATATACTTAGTAATATCATAGGCTGTTGACCGTTTTCGCTCATAGTCGTTTTTCTCATACAATGATATTATATATCATTGAATTCAAATTTAACACCATCCATTACAGTGACCCACTTGTAACCTACTGTACAGAGTGACTTTTTTTATACTGGATTTGATTATTTCCTAGTACCTATACGTCTTTATCAATGGATGAAATCAAAACAACACTACGGCATAAAATTACATAGGTATAATATATTAATATCGCCATGTGTATACAAAAATTTAAAAATGTTTGAATTTTATTTGTTGGCGTTGTTCAAAATTTAATTTTCTAACGTAACCATGTATTTTAAAATCGTGTTTAAATATTTATAATAATCCTACGTTTTTAAGTTTTGAACTTTAATAATTATGATCACGTGCATGGTGCATGAGAGAAAGAAAAAATGTGTCAGTGTAGCTAACAATAAAAGTAAACCGTTTAATGATTGAAAATGTAAAATCATCACAATGGACAGTAAAATTTAAAATGTCGTTCCTATAATATATTCAGGGATTAAAGAGGGAAAAAATTCCAAAGGGGACTAATGTCTCCATACATTTTTAAGCGGTCCATATATATAATTTTATGTATAAAATCCTAATTTGTTAAAGGAGACGCTTTTTAACCGCCGTCAGAGGTAGGGGGACTGAGTCCTCCTGCGTCCCCCCTAACTTTAACCTCTGAATATATTGCTATAAGTGGCATGCTAATATAGATATTATTCTTCTGCAAGGAAAATTGAGGAATCAATAATCATAGATATGTTTTTCAGTTTTTGAACATTTCGTCAGAAATTGAATTGAATTATAGAGCTCCTCGCTAGTGGTTTTTCAATGGTGTTATTTTTTTTTATTTTTATTTTTTTTATATCCAGTATACAAAATATCTACCAGAAGGAGTGCTTCGATTTCGGGCGCTTGTAAATTGCGCCCACATTAAGCAGGTAATAAAAATACTATAGTAAATTACGCCAGTGATTTTTTGGTTTCTAAAATAGGTATAGTAAATTGCACCCATAGACTATCCAAGTGACTTTGAATCCTTCATTACCTATTAGGTATGTGTATTTTAAAAATACTGTTGTTCATTTATTGGTGGATAAGCCGAACATTAATCGCTATAATCGTTATGATATTAAGGATATCAATGCATTTACGCGTATATACAACGACTTTACATATAGGTAATATTTTAGTAACCCGTTTGCGTGAAACATGGATATTATATATACTGGATTTAGCCAGAGAGAAAATGATGTTGTATTTTACCAAACTTATACATTTTCAAAATTAAAACGTGAGTTGTCTTCGGGTAAAACAAAGGTAAGCATTATTTAAGACCGTAAAACAAAGTGCATTGAGTCGCTAAATGACTATCATAAAAATAATATTTCTATTGGGCGCTATTTACTACACAGACATTTGTATCTAAAAAATACTGGGCGCAATTTAGTATTTACTATACATAGAAATGTATACCTGAAAAATAACTGGCGCAATTTACAATTGTTGCCCTTCGTTGGGCGAAATTTACGTTTGTTCTGGATTTCAACATATAGTACCTTATCTTTTAGCAAATTGGATCAAGATGGTACTTTAGAAAGGTCATTTTTCGATTTTCTCAATAGTTATTTAATGCCACAGGAAAAACCATAGACAAATTACAAAAAACAGCTAAAAATGGGATTTTAATTTCTAACGCTTTGTTTATCGCAATAGAAACGAATAAAAAATATTAATACCTATTTTATATAAATTCAACTTACAGGATGTCAGGATATAATAAATAATAACAATATCCAGACTGACAAACCGTCTCCGCTCAGAATCGTTTTTCTTATACAAAGATATTATATCATTGAATTCAAGTTGAATACAATCCTTTATACATTGACCCACTTGTAATCTACTATACAGCAGAGCGACATCCACTAACCCATTTTTTTTTTAATTGTTAATATTTGTTTCTATGGAAATATGCAAATCGTTACGCAAATTGATTTGAAAAAAAATTGCACCCAGCCCAAAAATATTTACTAATATTTATATTAAAATATAAAATTTTTATTGAATACTTCCTATTAAACTATCACTCGTATACTGACACTAAATGTCTACGACTAACAATTTATTTATTTTTTAATTTAATTTTACTTAATTTAGCATACCACTAAATTATTTATTAATTATTAATATTTTATTATTATTTGTGTACGAGCCTTGCTGAAAATATTAATTTGGTAATTTATTGTTAAAAATGTAATTTAAAACACCTATAAGTCGGTATCGGTCACTCTGCCTCGCGTGGACTTATAATTGTCGTCGTCGTACATCGGTGGACATTGTGAATTTATTGTGATACACCTAACCAATATAGGTATTTGACTACCTTCTACGCGTCTACCGGACTATAGTGACCCGCAATCATCGTACCCGTTTTGGGCCATATAGTAGATACATTATTCATGTTTTTATTAAGAAATAGGAATTTATAAGTGACTTTATTATCAAACTCCATTATCAATATAAAAATTTATTATCATCATTATACTATTTTATTATTATAAGTTATTTATATTAAATTAAATTAAACATGCCAGCCGCATTATTGCCTGTTGCGCTCATCAACAACGTATTTAATATTGTATTGTTGATTAATAATTAGTAAATTATTTATGGGGGACGGAGTGGCTGAGTGGACTAAGGCGTCCTCCTGACTTCGATTCCTTGGCCACGGGCGGCATTATTTTTCGGACAAGGCACGGTGTCCGGAGAACAAGTGCCGCCATCCCCCACCCGGGCATGGCAGATACCTACGGGTGCCCAATCAAAAATTCTGCTAAACACAACACACAAGTGTAAAAAGTAAAAACCCTACCATTACAAACCCTAGTACCTACAATCATAAAACCATTAAAACCATACAATCAGCTAATAGCCATAGTCGCCGGGCTTTAAAGATCAAAAAAAAATTATAAAAATTACAAAAAATTATTTATGTATTTCATTCAAATCAAAAACGATTAAAAAAAAAAAAAACCCAAAGAAGAAAGCTAAACACAGTACTGAGTTATTGTTATACATGTAAAACCACAGTGATAAATTTACAAATAATTGCATACGCCAATGGCCATAGGTATTATATAGTTATATATACCGTATACGATAAAGTAAAAATGATTTATAATCTTAAAAGAGGAAGTTATTTACTTACACACTGCATGCACACTTTTCTTGTCTTTATTTATCCAACACTATTGTAAGTAAAAAACTCATTTGTGGTCCGGAAAATTATTCCACAATTTTTTTAGATGAAAAATATATAATAAAACTGAGAATATGCGGTACGGTTTTGTAGGTATAATTTCAGGAAATTACAATTTACAATCAAAGTCCTTTTTTTGTTATTAAATAAAACAAATAGCCGTACAGTGTGATAAAGCATTTAGATATTCCATAATTTGCCAAGCTATGCCTACCAGCATAGTTAAAATTAACAAGGAGTTACATATCATTGTGCTATAGAAATTCAAAGTAAACAAAACAGAGTTTGTATAATTTGTGATGCTGGCACTTGGTTGTCAAGATACTTTGAATACAAATATTATGATATTAAACAATCCACATCATTCTAATATTTTATTTATTTTATAAATTGAGTTATGTAAAAAGTAATTGTGCCCCCCCTCCCAAGGGCATAATTAAGTGGGAATGAGGGGGATAGATTACCTCTGGGTCTTTATAACATATGTATACCACTTATCATTTTACTTAAACATTTTGTATTTAGAGTGTAAAAAAATGTCTATCCCCCTGGATAAATTTCTAATTATGCCACTTCTCCCCACAATAGTTTAATAGCAATAAATAATAATTACTAAATGTTACTAAAAATAATGTCGATACATTTAGCTGACATCTAGTGAATGACCTTCCAATTTCTGTTGAACTAATACAAATTACAAATAACAAATTATGAAAAGTTATATATTTTTAACTTAGATAACTCATTTTAATACATGCTCATTTGACATTTGATCGGTATAACCTAAGGGAAAAAAGGAAAATCAATTTGAGAATAACAAACAAATATAAAAATTAATATTTTACTTTCACTTCCTACTACAGTAGGTTATAGGTCATATTAATACATTAGAACAAGGGTCAATACAACATTCTAATAACTGCCATTCACTCTCTCTAAAAGTTAATTTAAATAAAATGTTGTATCAATTATCAATATCATATCAATCAGTATTTTAAAACCAAATAAAAAAAATAAAATAAAATAATGCATGTATTTGTATAGATAATAAATACAAATTAAAATATGCCTTATAACAAATCTTAAAGTATTTTTAACACAAAATTCTACTTAACTTTAAATCCTATATTCTTACCAATTAATCAGCAATTTTTAATAGAATTTTACCACTGCTTTTGTCTGTTGAAAAATGTTCTAATGCTTCATTTACTTGTTCAAGTTTTAATGTTTCCGATATATTTGGAGTAATCACACCCATTTTACACATGGTTAATACATCTTTGACAGATTGCCTGATAAATAAATCATTTTAATGGTTAAATTAATGCATGTTATTCATACAATTTATATATGAAGTTATTTAATATTTAAGTGTACATTTTAGTATTTTATCCATAAACATAATTTATGTATCTATGTAAATTAATTGTTTACATATAATATATTGTAAATTTGTAAATATTATACATATGTATATTTAGTAATTTAGTATTTATAGAGCATAAGACTGTTACTAAGAAATATTTTGAACTATTAAATTTATCCTAGTAAGAAATATACTGGATAAAAATACCTTACAAGCTCCAAATCATACCAACATTTCAAGTATTGTAAATTACAATACAATTTTCAACATTCAAATACTTGTTTATTTAATATATTTATATATTTGGTAAAACATTTCAGTCAAGAGGACGCCACACCCGCATTTGTTTCTGAGGCCTTATAAATGTGCAACATAGAAAATTTTGGCTTAGTAGTCTAATTTTGAATTGTTAGATTTAGTTTTAGAGTATATTGATTTAAAATCAAACTCAAAAGTCAAAGGTAAGAACATTATCTGTGTTCTCTCATTAGTTTTATATGATAATTTCATTTTGAAGTGAGTTATGAAGATTCTTATATTTTCATATTTTATATACTCATACAGTCATACCTTGCTTTAAAAATACATTTTTGTAAAAAACCAATGAGAGAATACATATGATATTCTGGCTTTTAAGTTTGATAATAGGTCAATTCACTCTAATATTTAAACCAACAATACAAAATGGGTTCTGCTGAACTCAAATTTGTCATGTTGTAAGTTTGAAAGATGGAGACAACACATGCGGGTTTGGAGGGATTTTAATAAAATGTTTATAATTATTAATTTTATTATTTATGAAGCAAAACTCTACCGTAAAAAGGAAAACCTCTTTAGAATGTTATTATATCCTACAATAAATAGAATAATAAGTAGACAGAATAGTACAATTATCTGATGTATTGGCATTGAATCTTATTTTGACATAACATTATTTAGAAATCTATAATTTATATAATCATTTTTATAATTGGTTAATTCGTAAATATGTCATATGAGTAATATTATGTGTATTATTTTTTGATAAGTATAATATTGCACAAATCATAACGAAAATTATAATATGTAATAACATTTATCATCTTATGCAATTATATCAAATAATAAATTATAAATACTTTATAGTTTATTTAATACACTAATGTAACAATTGCATAATTAACTAGCTGTCCTGCTCGGCGTAAATGTTTAACTGCTTTATCTGTGTTGGAATGTTTAAAATATTTTTAGCAATAATTAGGTTTTGAGTAATAATATGCTGTTTGAATTTTTCCCAATCTTGTTTACCAGTGATGAGTTTACGAATGGGAGTTTTTTACAGGTAAATGGTCCAAATATAGTACAAATAGTGGTTCTTAGTGATTGATTTTAGTAGAATTACATCTAAATTATCAGAACTTCTGTTGAAAATATTATTGAGTCTTTGACCATAAGGAAAGTAGGTAGATGTATCTGGAGCAGACATGAATGTGGAATTGTTTGAGAGATTTTTGTATACTTTACATCCGTTTGCATTTGTGGATTTGCAATTCCAAGTTCTGTATTTGCAGTTAAGGTCACTTACTAGAAACATTTTTTGATATACTACGGCCTACGAGAGATCAGTAGCGTCACGCGCATGCAGAATGACCGGCAGCGACAGTGCGGAGTCCAATTTGCCCCACTATGTGCCGGAATTCCGGCATCGTCGCCGAAACGCTGTGGTTGGTTGAGTGGGAGATGCGCGAAATCGGACGAGTTTTGGTCGAATAGCAGTACTGATCTCTCGTAGGCCGGAGTATAGCTATTTTATATTTTGTCAGTCATTTGTGTAAATTTGAAAGCTAGGAGGCTGGTAAGCACTAATTATTGAAATAGATATTTCTACTGCTTCGAGCCTTTGTAATGTAGATAGATATATGTTTGTTGATGTTTAATTTTTGTTTTAATTACTATAGTGACACACCAACATCACCTGAGGGTCGCACCACTAGCCTATCTTTGCAATAAGCGGTGTACCCATTAAACTTAATTTTGTCGCTAGTAATTAGATGTCTTTCGCGTTACGAACGCAATGTCTACATTAGTAATATATATTATATACTATTACAAATTTATATAATATATAGAAACATAATGTAAGTAGGCTGTGAGTTCCAGAAAAATGTTTACCCTACAACACAGTTCTGAATATAATTTTTAATAATTTATAGTCGATTCACCTAATTTAATTAAAATATTTTTTTATGTTTACTTAAAATATTAAATAATAATATTTACCTGTATATCCTTACTGAATGTGTACGATAATTATTTAATGATACACCGATTAAACTAAATGAAGGCCGACGTAGAAGTTCATTAATATTTAACTGTGGTAGTTGTAATGATGCAAAACCTGCAACTATTACTTTACCTTCATGGCCAACACTAAAATAAAAACCAGGTATTATACTGAAATAATAAATATATTTCATTAAAAATTGATTGAAAAATTATTACTGTACCAATCTAATGCTGATGGAAAAATTTCTCCGCCAACCGCATCAAACACCACATCCACTCCTTTGCCATCAGTTTCTTTTAATATTCTTTTGCATAAGGACTCAGGACTTTTAATTTCGAAAGAAATAAAAGCTCCTTTATCTCTTACAATAGATGTATTTTTTTCTAAACGACAAGCTCCAATAACCTTCAATTTTAAAATTAAGATACCTAATTATTTTTGTCATTTGTCACACCCACACACCAATAAATTAATATACCTTAGCTTTACACATATTGGCAGCTATATCAACTGCAGCTAAACCTAAACCACCAGCAGCTGCTGTTACTAAAATGGTATTATCTTTTTTTAGGTTTGCACGACGAGCTAATCCTATTAACGCTGTTGCATAGCTGTCTCCGATCGATACAGCTGTTTCATAAGACAATTCTGATGGTATTCCAAAAATATCCTAAACATTAGAGAAATTATAAAATGTATAGTTATAATAAATAATAATTACTTACTTTTTCATCAACAATACATTCTTCAGCAAATCCACCCATGATTTCTTTGTTTAAAACCAATACTCGATCACCTACTGATATATCTTCTTCTTCATCGTCAGTATTTGTAGCTTTGGATTCTATAACTTCGCCAACAATTTCAAAACCGGGAACACATGGTAATAGTGGTTTGATTTCAGATAACCCAGAGCAAATTAAAGCATCAGACATGTTCACAGCACAATACTTTACAGCAATCCTGAGCTGGAAATAGATACAATTAATTTATTAGAAAATGGCAGTATTTAAAAATAAAATCTTTGTTATAATATTTACTTGGCCTTCTTTGAGTTTATCCGCTATTTTAAAATCTTCAAGAACCAATGGTTCTTTAACAGTTTTTAGTACAGCTGCTTTAGTGAATTTAGAACGAACATTTCGTATTTCGTGATTTACATGAAGTTTATAAATATTACGTGTAATATATTTCATTGTATAATTTGATTGTAACTAACAACTGGTAATGTTAATCCAAAAACTTAAGTTCTTTATTTAATATTTATATTATAATAATACAATATTCATACAGAACACAGATACAGTTTATTACAATAGGTATTTACACAGAGACAGAATAGAGAAATTTACTATTTACTACTTACTAGTTATTTATTATTTTATTACACAATAAATTGTTATCAATAAAATAAAATATTATTATGAAGCCGGCGGTCCATAGATCCAACCATGAAGATTAGAGATAATCTAATATTCATGATTATGGTATTATGGTGATAATAGTATTTTGTTCTATGGTATTATCGTGATTATGGTACATCAAAGGTGATAACCACAAATCTTTACAGAATATGTTGGAACGTCTTGGATAATGGATACCTACAGGCTACAACAATGGATTAAAAATTAAAATAAATTATTTATTATAAATATTATATTTTAATTCGTTTAACACACCTATGGTTATCCTGGTTGTTTAATTTGGATCATGGGGATATAGTTGGTCGGGGATCTAGATGACCGTTTAGTAAAATAATAAATGTTATCTATGCTTATCATTATGTTACTATTATTGCTATTATGAATAAAACTTAAAAGTATGAAAATTATTTAAAATGAACAATTGCAACTGTTGTGTAATAATAACATTGTAGTTTGTATTATTTATTAAAAATATTTTAGTTCTCAAATTTTGAAATGGGCTTAAGTTTGTTAAATATTATTTCGAAATCAAATTTTCGAATACTTAGGCCAAAATTACTAAGTAACTATGTTGGAACGAATAAGGAATTGGTATGCACAAGATATATGAGTAACTATTTACGTAAAATACCAATTACCACATCTAAAAAGGTAATTAATTTATTTTATATAATCAACTTCAAACATTTTAAATCCAATTAGTGAAATATTTCTAGTAATTTTCTTAAGCAAAATAATTATAACTGAACTTATTGAATATTAATGTATTCATTTTTAGCATAATATAGCAGTACATAAAGAAATAGCTGCTGTAAATAAACTTATCTTAAGATATACACATTCTCAAAAGAATGAGAATGATGGCAAAAACACTGATGATCCAAGAAATGCTATGATGATTAAAATCATGATGGCAATATTTACAGTATATTTAACAGTATATGTTATAAGTATGTTATTCCCTAATGCATCAAATCCTGAAGTAAATATAAATAATCAAATTAAATTTACCTTACTCAAAAATATTAATTCATATTGTTTTGTAGGATATGCGCTATGTATCTTGGAATGAGTTTGTACATTTAATGTTAGCCAAAGGTGAAGTAGAAGAAATAATTGCCCGCCCCGATTTAGATATTGTAACAGTAAGATTACATGAAGGTGCTATTATTAAAGGACGAAAAGTAAATATAAATATATAACTATTTGCATTTCTGTTTCAAAAATAAGTTAAATTTTTTATTTTAATACCTTGTTCAGTTTTATTTTAAACAAGAAATAACTCAAATATTTTTACAGATCGACCAAAGAACTTACCATATGAATATTGCAGATTTAGAAAGATTTGAACAAAAATTAAGAGAAGCAGAAACAAAATTGGGTATAAAACCTGGTCATGGAGTACCTGTTGTGTATGATCGTTCTCTTAATGCACCAGAATTAATATTATTTTTATTTTTCGCTGGCCTACTTGCTTTGGCATATTTTGGCCGTTCAAAGGGGGGTTCAAAGTCTCCGATCAGCTTAGATATGTTTGTAAGTATTATAATAAGTGGCATATACATGAGCCATGAGGGGAATGTTTAGGGTATATTAAGTCCTGCTCTGACTGTTGTTTATATCATAAAATTTACATTATTTCACTTTTCCCAAGATTTCAACACTTAATATAATATCATTAACCATTATACAATGATATATTTCTGAGTATACATCATAATTGCAATATAGGGCTAAGCCTCCCCAAACATTTCTTACATTTTGTTTAAGCTAATTCAATATTATTATATTAAACCTTCAGCCCCTCCCCCTACCCCCAAACAAAAACTCTATTTACACATATGGTGCACATGCAAATTTTAGAGCAGCACTAGGAACATGATTTCTTTATACAATATACCCTCAAATACTCAATGATAATATAAGGATAATCTAATTATTAAACACTAAAATTACATTTGAACATATCAGATCTTTGAGATACACTCTATTTATGAAATCCTGGATATACCACTAATTAGTATTATAAATACATTATATATTTAATATTAAAATTTAACTACCATTGGTAATTATTACTAATTAATATTTAAATTATTTTAGTCTCAAATAAAACGAGCAAAGTATACATTAATTGACCCATTGATTGGTCAAGGTAAAGGAGTTCGCTTTAAAGATGTTGCCGGTCTAAAAGAAGCAAAACAAGAAGTTATGGAATTTGTTGATTATTTAAAGAGACCAGATCATTATAAAAATTTGGGTGCAAAAGTTCCCAAAGGTGCATTACTTTTAGGTCCACCTGGTTGTGGTAAGACAATGTTAGCTAAAGCTGTTGCAACAGAATCAAATGTACCTTTTTTATCTATGAATGGTTCTGAGTTTATTGAAATGATTGGAGGGCTTGGAGCTGCCAGAGTACGGTTAGTTAGTTAAATATTTTAGTTATATGTATTTTAGTTTGTTTTGATAATTTACAAAAACTAATAATTTTTGATTATAGAGATTTATTTAAAGAGGGCAGAAAAAGATCTCCATGTATAATTTATATTGATGAAATTGACGCTATTGGTCGTAAAAGATCTTCAAGAGGTCCAGAAGGTGGTGGTGATGAAGGAGAACAAACATTAAATCAATTGTTGGTTGAAATGGATGGTATTGGATCCAAAGAAGGAGTTTTAATGTTAGCTTCGACAAATAGAGCAGATATATTAGATAAGGTTTACAATAATTTTGTTAGAAATGTGGTGGATTATTATTCACCTTGTTCAATGTTATAGATTCATAAATAATATAAAAGTGTATGGATATTCTAGGCTCTTTTAAGACCGGGACGTTTTGATCGCCATATTCTAATCGATCTTCCTACATTAGAAGAACGGAAAGAAATTTTTGAACAACACTTAAAAATCAAACTTGATAAAGAGCCTAAACATTATTCACAAAAAATGGCTCATTTAACTCCTGGATTTAGCGGTAAATTAATTAATGATATATTGATATCTATTTAATTTAAACATATTTCATTAATAATTAATGAAATAATATTAACTAGGAGCTGACATAGCTAATGTTTGCAATGAAGCAGCATTACATGCTGCTAGAAATAGTCAAAAAGTTGTATTAGAAGCTGATTTGGACTATGCAGTTGAACGAGTGGTCGGAGGAACAGAAAAACGATCTCACGCAATTTCTCCTGACGAAAAGAAAATTGTAGCCTACCATGAAGCTGGACATGCATTAATTGGTTGGTTGTTGCCTACTACGGATGCTCTCCTGAAAGTCACAATTGTGCCTAGAACTAATGCAGCTCTGGGATTTGCTCAGTATACACCCACAGAACGATATCTACTTTCAAAGCAAGCTGTAAGTTTTAACTATACAATTAAAAAGATTATGAAATGTTTGAATACATTATTTAAGATGCCTAAAGTACCGTAGTCAAAGCATGATTTAGTAGGTTGTTCTATTAAATTTTTATGGCTTCTTTTCAATCTCATATGTACTCAACATTTTTGTTTAGTTATTTGAAAAAATGTGTTTGGGACTTGGTGGCAGAGTAGCTGAATCAATAGTATTTAACAGCATTACAACTGGAGCTCAAAACGATTTGGATAAAGTTACTAAAATTGCAAATGCTCAAGTAATATTAAAAATTATTATTTTGAAAAAGTATTAATATGAAAAATAATCTTTGAATTTTAACTTTTAAGGTACGTCAATATGGTATGAATGATAAAGTTGGATTAGTGTCATTTTCTGAAGATAAAAATAGCTTAAGGCCATATAGTAACAAACTTGCAGCACTCATGGAAACTGAAGTATCCAGATTAGTTTCTGATGCTTATTTCAAAACAGAAAAACTACTTAAAGAAAACTATAATAAACTAGAATTGGTATTGTTTGTTTAATTCATGCATTTTTAGTTAAAGTATTCATATGCTGGTTTGCATAAACAATTTATTAAATTTAATGGACCTATCGTGGGCCACTAAATCTTGTTTAAGGGACGATTAGCTCACTATTGATTGATTCATTAAATGTTTTGTGCAACCTGGCATTAGTATCTTATGAATTATGATATTGTATGTTTGTATATTGTCGTTGTTGTTCAACAATTGGCCAAATCAATTGCATACTAACTTTATGTCAATTGTGGTTTTAATATCAAAAAGGTAAAATATTTTAAGGGTTCCACATTAGTAGACCACCATCCTCATGTATATTCATGTTTTTTTTTTTATTATTCTAAGAGATTGTAAGTATTCCTAACTTTTTTTTTTTTTGAAAAAAGACATTAAACATCATACAATTGATTAACTTACGTATATTTTTATCTGAAAATTCAAAATAATGTACAAAAATTAAATAATTTAGATGTTAATAGTATCAAAAACATAAACTTTCAATTTTTAAATGTTATACTCTAAGTTATATAATATTATTCATTGATTAAAACATGTTATAACTCAATTATTTTTTTACTTTTTAGATTGCTGAAGAGTTGTTGAAGAAAGAATCATTAAATTATGAAGAGATGGTAAAATTAATAGGTCCACCACCAAACGGGGAAAAACGTGCTGTAGAGATGTATGAGTTTAACTCACCTGTAGATACAAAAAATACTGACTCCTCAAAAAATTAATGATTGTTAAATGTTTTAAGTGTTGGTTAACTGATGTTAGTTTAATTTAAATTATGTAAAATAATAACAATAAATCTACAAGACCATGACTTATGAATTATGATTTTGAAATATGATCTTATTATACAATTCACCCAGAAAAATAAGTTCAATATCAACATTATTAAGTATTTTTGCACATTGAATTGAAGCAGTGTTCATTATAATGTAAAAAAAAATATGGACACAAATAAGTATGAAACATAAAAATAGAATAAAATTAAAAATAATAACCTGGTTAATCACATTTCAGACACAACTTAAGGGATATTTATTGATCTTATTGGACTCATTGGTCATTAAAACTAGTGGAGTTAAGTACAGGGTAAACACTGTACACTCAAGTCTAAATGAATTAGTAAAATAAAATAGTTATTGTTTTTTGTAGTAGGCAATTGAAAATCCATAAAATATTTATTTCATGATATAAATGAAAATAGTTTTTAATTTTACCCTTATTATACCAAGGGAACTTCATGTAGTTAAAGGCATATGGAGGTCCTCTTTATAGATTTATTAATAGGCTGAATATTAGATGGTTCACATAGGTATTAGGTACCTGTTTACCTGCACCAATACACTTGAATTGATTCCGTGCTATTAAGAGTTAGGTACAAGTTGATTCCCTTATTGTTGTATAACAGTAACTAAAATAACATACATTTTAAATTTTTACATGAGAAAAACCAAGAAAAATAAGTTTTTATTAGAGTAATGTTGTACAAGTATAGTGCATACTTATGATTACATTACTAAAAATCAGTTTTTTAAAACAATGTTTTTAAAATGTTTACCTAGAGCAAACTAATATATTCATTGTTTTTTTTAGTGTGCATTGAGGCACATTTTGTGCAGTGAGAAAAGTAATTGTACTATGAAAATTGTTACTTTGTGCAGTCCAAAAAAAGAATTTCAGGATGATATATTTTATTGTATATTATAAAACAATAATTGAAAAAACTTCAAATTAAAAAAAAAAGGGTGTAATAATGTCACAATTTGATAAGGTTTTATTTAGTGGTTACCAATAATAGTTATGGTTACCTACGTGTTATAAGAAGAATTGATCATTAGTTGTAGTGGATAAAAGTGGTAGGCATCTACCTAGTGTGATAATGTATGTTAACTTGAACAATTCCAAAAATGTTAGTTAACACCTTCAGCTGGTTGACCCCTTCAATTATGCCTTATGGTACCTATATGGATGTATATATATATATATATCAATATCATCTTCTATGCATTTCAAAACTGATGTGACAGATCGCTACAGTTTAATTTTATATGTTTTCATGACTTAAAAAACGCAGGCCGTTATAATAGCTGCAGTTAAATTATTATAATAAATTTGTCTATAGAGTATAAGGTAGAGTATTTATTTTATACATATTGTAAATCAACTTCGGTAATTCAAAAACCAGAATTTTAATTAATGCAAATTTCATATTATTTCAAGGTACACTGAAATCTTCGCTCAATTGCAATTTCTAAAATTTCATACATAAGTATGTACCTACCTATACTGCACAGATTTACAATTTACTTTAATATTTACCAATCACTGGTCACTACTATACCTACATATATAGGCTATAACCTATGGTATACATATGGTACAACACTACAACTGGGCCCGCAGTTATTGCTATAATACACAATTTAATATACAATTTTAAAATGGGAAATAAAATATTTGTATTGTTTTGCATTACATTAATTGTATTTTGCATTGTTTACACATCATCGCGAAAAGTGACGAAAACACTTGGCTTGAACGAAGGTACGTCGGTTTAATTTGTATGCATATAATGTGTGCATAATATGTTTTTTAATATTTTTCAAATTTTATAGTAACAAATAATAACGTATAGATTCAACGTATACGTAGATGTTGGATTCCCAACTATAATTAGTAATCACTCTTAATATAGAGAATATGTGTGCATGTGCTAGTTATTAAAAAAAAATACGTTTTCCTATAACTTTTTGTTATTTTTTTTGTAAATTGATAATATTATAATGTATCTGTATTAAATATAAATGTATTATATGATAGCTAAATAGAAAAAAAAATATTTTTAATTGGTGACCAAAATAGTGTACTGGCCGAAAACGGACATTCCAGAATGGCCGAAAAGTGAACTGGCCGAAAAGGGAAAGGTTCATTTTGGCCGAAAAGTGTCCCGCCCCGGATAATCACTTTGTGTGCTCCAGTATTTAATTATTTTGCAGTTTTATTTACTCGCAAAATTTGATATTTGATATTTATTTCTCACCTAGTCCATACATAGTAACCAAAATATTCAAACATATTATATAGTTGCCATGTCAGCATTATATACTGTTAAATAACATAATTTTGTGGTTCACTTCATAATTTAGTGTCAGAGATATCGCTCACAGTTATTGTTACAATTTATAACTTGTACGTTCGTCTCTTAAAAGTTAAAACAATTAATATGTCTTCAGATAATACTTCGAACCAGTCGTCTGAAGTGATGGATTATGTCTGTAAAACAAGCCGTGAAAAAGATTGCAGTGGTGCCATGGACCCGGTGTTGGCAGGAAAAAACGCCAAACGTCGACGCCGCGCCGCTTACATAATGCAGCCTACACCCATTTCTTTAAGTCGGTCCTCCGAGGATTTCAACCACGGTTTCTCAAGCCGGGCCAGATTTTACGGTGCGATGGCCGCTAAGCGCCTAAAAGGAATTTATCTTGCAAATATTGCTGCAGCGGCAGCCGAAGTAAATGGACCGACCGATTTGGTGGACCAGATCACGGAATTCATATTCCAGCGGCTAGTAAGGGCTTTAGGAAATGACATAAAAAATACGGTTAAACGTCGTCGCCCCGCTTACATAATGCAGCCCACTCAGATTTCCTTAAGTCGACCCGAAGAGGATTTGGACCATATATTTTCAAGCCGGGCCCAGTTTTACGGTGCGATGGCCGCTAAGCGGCTAAAAGCTCACTATTATGGCAACATTGGTTTTGCGAAAACGGAAAGAAATGTGCCAATTAATGATTTAGTAGACCAAATACCAGCAGGGTCTACGTTCCGGCGACTGGTCGAAAATTGTGTAAGGGACTTGGCGAGGAACGCCTGTGTACCGGAGTGTGCACAAAACATGCCGGCCCAAGTTTCGACGGTCGAAATAGTCGACCCGGTAACGATTATTGAAAATGATCAGGACGTGTCGTCTGGTCAAACCACAGAGTCCGGCATCCAAGTTCACGAGCAGGAGGTACCACCAGCGGCTAGCGTAGAAATAAAGGTAAAACGTAAGCGAACGCTTTGGTCCCACGCCAAAAAATTGTTTTCGCGTATGATATGCTGTCGCTGTACTACAGCAGATTAGAAAGTATTGTAAATCGTAAATTTCCTTAAATATTATATCACCTATATATTATGTTTATGTATTATTCCTACATGAAATACCAAGCCTTTCAACCCCGAATATATAAATTTTGACTACATAAACATAATACATGTGTAGGTAGGTACCTACCTAATCTAATTTCTATTCAAGTTTATAATTTACATTTGGGTACATTATTAAATAACACTTAAAATAGAAACCGATATTAAATTAATTATTCAACATAAACATATTTCATTTGTAATTGATGCAATTTCTTGTAGGTATAATACATACATAATAATACTGTATACATAATAAATAGGTAATCTAATTTTTATACAAATTTACATCATTAATAATACATAAAATAGGAACCGTTATTGAATTTATTATTCAACATAAAAATATATTATTTATAATTAACCCTTCCAACGATCGATTATTGTGAGTTGCATAATTAAATAAAGTAATATGTATTTTTATAACTTGCACCACTGTTATTTAGTGTATGATTTGAATTTCCTTCGAAAACAATCATTTCTCATCACTCCTTATTCAAAGCACTTAATGTCCCAGATTTAGAAAATTTAGACGCATTTTAAGATAATTAATTTTAATAATACATTAGAAAAAAAATATAGTTCCGTTTCAATTAGTTGTTTATCTATCAAAAAATATTATAAACATATAATTTAATTTTACGATTTTCACAAAACTTATATCAATAGGCATATATGAATGAAATCATTGATATGTTTATTATAACGTAGACTCCCAAAGATATATGCATCATCAATTTATTTTTGTTGCCATTTGTAGGAAGTGTGTTCGCCCTCCGACTGAATGCTTAAAACTTCAAACATAAATCAATATTTAGCAAGGTTTTTGCAAGTAATTGCAAGTCCATTAATACAATTTGTAAGTTAGTAGTTTTGTCAGGAAACAAAAAACATGAAAGTAACTTCACACACGTATTTGTAAATTTGGCAATGTTGCAAAATTAGTTCATGGGTGCCCTGCAATGATTCATTTGTACACCATACCTTTAAAGAAAGATGTATTTAAAAAAATATTTATATTTTAATCGTTTTCCCTTAAATTAGCTATAAGAAGTAAGGTTCAAGCAAAAAAAAAATGATAGTCAAAAATTCAACCCCCTTTAACCCCGAATTTATAATTTTTGACTAACATTTTTTTTTTGTTTGAACCTTACTTCTAATAACTAAATTGAGGGAAAACGATTAAAATATAAATATTTTTTCAAATGAATCATTGAGCATCAATGAACTAATTTTGCAACATTGCCAAATTTACAAATACGTGTGTGAAGTTACTTTCATGTTTTTTGTTTCCTGAAGAAACTACTAACTTACAAATTGTATTAATGGACTTGCAATTATTTGCAAATAACTTGCTAAATATTGATTTATATTTGAAGTTTTTAGCATTCAGTCGGAGGCCTACAAATGACAACAAAAATAAATTGATGATGCATAAATCATTGCACGTTATAATAAACATAACAACGATTTCATTCATATATGCCTATTGATATAAGTTTGGGAAAATCGTAAAACTAAATTATATGTTTATAATATTTTCTGATGGATAAACAACTAATTTAAATAGAAATATTTTTTTTTCTAATGTATTATTAAAATTAATTACCTTAAAATAAAATGCGTCCAAATTTTCTAAATCTGGGACATTGGGTGCTTTGAATAAGGAGTGATGAGAAATGAATGTTTTCGAGGGAAAATCAAATCATACACTAAATAACAGTGCCCAGTGGTGCAAGTTACAAAAATACATATTAGGTAGGTACTTTATTTAATCATGCAATTCACAATTTAATCCATGGTTCACTCATGGTTGTCACAGAAAAACAGATAAATTGTTAAATATCATGATGTATAAAATCATCACTGTTCTGGGAAGGATTAATTAAAAATAATATATTTTTATGTTGAATAATAAATTCAATAACGGTTAATATTTTATGTATTATTAATAATGTAAATTTGTATACAAATTAGATTACCTATGTATTATACCTACACAAAATTGCATCAACTGCAAAGAAAATATGTTTATGTTGAATAATTAACTCAATATCGGATTTTATATGTTATTTAATAATTTACCTAAATGTAAATTGTAAACTTGTATAAAAATTAGATTAGGTATACCTACCTACCTATGTATTATGTTTATGTAGTCAAAAATTATAAATTCGGGGTTGAAAGGCTTGGTATTTCATGTAGGAATAATACATAAACGTAATACAAAGGTGATATAATATTTAAAGAAATTTACGATTTACATTTTCATTAATACATAAGCACAATACATAAGTAGGTAATCTAATTTTTATAGAAATTTACAATTTACAATACTTTCTAATCTGCGGTAGTAAAGCAAACAATTTTTTGACTCGGAACCAAAGTGATCGTCTACGTTTTACCTTTATTTCTGCTGGTGGCACCTGCTCGTCTACTTGGATTCCGGACTAAGTCGTTTGACCAGACGGCACGTCCGGATCATTTTCGATAAACGTCACCGGGTGGACTATTTCGACCGCCGAATCTTAAGCCGGCAAGTTTTGTGCACAGGCGAAGGGAAACTCCGGTACACAGGCGGTCCTCGCCAAGTCCTTTACACAATTTGCGACCAGCTGCCGGAACGTAGACCCTGGTATTTGGTCTACCAAATCATTTGGCACATTACTTTCCGTTTTTGCAGAAGTAATGTTGCCATAATAATGAGATTTTAGCCGCTTAGCGGCCATCGCACCGTGAAACTGGGCACGGCTTGAGAATATATGGTCCAAATCCACGGCGGACCGACTTAAAGAAATCTGCGAAGGCTGCATTATGTAAGGGCGGCGTCGACGTTCAATCGTTTTTCCGACGACTTCAGTAGACCGTGTTGTATCAACCGTATATTTTAAGTCATATTCTCAAGCCCTTGCCAGCCGCTGGAATATGGATTCCGTGATCAGGTCCACCAAATCTGTCGGTCCATTTAATTCGGCTGTCGCTGCAGCAATGTTTGCAAAATAAAGTCCTTTTAGCCGCTTAGCCGCCATCGCACCGTAAAATCGAGCCCGGCTTGAGAAACCATGGTTCAAATCCTCGGCGGACCGACTTAAAGAAAATGTGCGTAGGCTGCATTATGTAAGCGGCGCGGCGTCGACTGACCAATGCCGGCGAAAAACGGTACTGTCAGTTTACCATAATCGAACTCTATACATAAAAACCACACAAAACAGCATTTGGGAGAGCCCTCAGAAAATCCTCGGTAATAATATAATAACTATATACAATGTGTAAAACTATTCTAACTAATTAATTAAAATTAACTAACTATAATTAGTTAGTCCACACCCTTCTATTAATTTGGTTATATCAGTTCTGAAGGAAACACAAGAGACTTGCACAAAAATAAAATCAGCATCCAAAGGACGTTTCAATGAAACGACAAACAACGTTTATACCACACAATTAACGAATAGGTATAAAGAATATTTAATACACAAAAATATAATCTAATATTTGTAACAAGTACCAAGGTATCAAATTATAATTTTACATATTTTTTACATATTTTTACATGCATACATTTTATGTTTTGAATTGACAAATTTTCATTGACTTTTTTATTGACAGTCAAATAAATAACAAATTAAAAATAATTATAATAATTACATTATATTATATTATTTACATTGCAGATAAAACCGTGTTGTTTTTGTGGTTAATTTGACAATCCATTGTTTGATCAAATTCGTACTGAATCGTGCTTTACCGCAGGCGAGGGGCCACTCCGGTACACAGGCGGTCCTCGCCAAGAGTCCTTTAGCGACCAGCCGCCAGAACGTAGACCCTGGTATTTGGTTTACCAAATCATTTGGCAATTGCCTTTCCGCTGTCGCGGAAAAAAAATTAGATTACCTATGTTTTATGTATATATGTATGTATTATACCTACACGAAATTGCTTTGATTAATTTGAATAATTCAATATCGGTTTCAATTTTATTTATTATTAATAATCAACACCAAAATACAATTGAAAAAAAAAACGTGTGCAAGTGACCCAGTCTCTGTGATTTATATGTTAAATTTGAATTCAATGATATAAAAACATTGAATACGAAAAACGGTTCTGACTTTGAGCGACGACGATCTGCCATCTTAAAGACAATAATATTACTAAGTATATTTTATAATATTACGGCTGTTAAGATAAATTATTTTACTATTAGACAATAGCACAGTACTTAAAATATAGATTAAAGTAGTTTTTTCCAAAATACTTGCATTTAAAAATTTCATTGTGTGAATACAGCAAATAATATTATATATACATTAATAGTTTCAAGTAGGTACCTACCCACAGTAAAATGTTTAAATTATAACAAAATAACTGAAATCATTATTCGTCATTTAAATATCTAAGTCTGTCAACATTTTAACTACACTTATGAAAAAAATCGTGCATACATAATACATATCTTTACTGTTTTTATTATATTATTAAAATAACTTCTTATGTAAACTACCTTGTATTCCATTTTTAAATCTTATAAAAAAAAAACAAAAAATATTTTATTAATATCTAACTCATAATAGCTTGCACGTTTTTATAATTTTGACGAATTTCGTCACTCATAATAAAGAAAATATAATGTTTATAGTTAAAATGTGACAATGAGTAAAAGGAAACTGAGAAAAAAGGGGCGCCAAAATGTGTGTACCCAGGGTGCTAAAATCTTAAATACGCCACTGGACGCCAGCTATGAGCTATATAGGAAAAGTTTAACGATAAAATGATTAATTTTTGAAATAGTTCAACTTTATCTGAGTAAAAAAAAAATATAAACATTTACAAAATGATACAAACATTGCTTGAGCTCTAACTCGTAACTTCAAACTTGTAATCAAGTATACAATATAATAATATGACAAACACAACTCTTAAATTAAATTATTGTAA